TTTAGTATACAGATGGATTCATAGATTCATAGATGTAGGGTTGGAAGGGACCTTGTAGATCTTCAAGTCTGCCCCCCTGCTGTGGGCAGGAGAGAAAACTGGGCTCAAATGACCCCAGCCAGGTAAACATTGAGCCCGCTCTTAAAGAGACCCAGGGTAGAAGCCATCACCACTTCCCTTGGAAGTTGGTTCCAGATCCTAGCCGCTCTGACTGTGAAGTAGTGCCTTCTAATATGTAGTCTAAATCTACTGTCTAGCATCTTATGGCTGTTATTCTTTGTTACTCTGGGAGGCACTCAGGGAACAAGGTCTCTCCCAAACCCTGCTGGTCCCCCCTAGTAAGTTTATAGATGGCCACCAGGTCCCCCCTCAGCCTTCTCTTGCGAAGGTTGAACGGGTTAAGGTCCCGTAGCCTCTCCTCATAGGGTCTGCCCTGTTGTCCCCAGATCATGCGTGTGGCCCTCCTCTGGACCCTCTCAATGTTGTCCACATCCCTCCTGAAGTGCAGCGCCCAGAACTGGATGCAGTACTCCAGCTGCGGCCTGACCAGTGTTGCACAGAGGGGGATGATCACCTCTTTGGCCCTGCTTGTGTTGCATCTGTGGATGCAGGACAAGGTACGGTTAGCCCTACTAACGGTGTTCTCATATTGTCGGCCCATGTTCATCTTGGCGTCAGTAATGACTCCAAGATCTCTTTCTGCCGTCATGCTTTTGAGAAGGGAGTTCCCCAGCCTATAGGTATGCTGCTGGTTCCTACTGCCCGAATGCAGCACCCTGCTCTTGTCAGTATTGAATCCCATTCTATTTTCATTTGCCCACCCCTGTAACCTGTGCAGGTCCTGCTGTAATCTGTCCTTCCCTTCTAGCATGCCCACCTCACCCCAAATCTTGGTGTCATCTGCGAATTTAAACAGGCTGCTCTTCACCCCATCGTCCAAGTTGCTAATAAAGAAATTGAACAGTGTGGGCCCAAGGACCGAGCCCTGGGGGACCCCACTGCCCACTTCCCTCCAAGTCGAAAATGACCCGTCCACCTCCACTCCCTGAGTATGACCCCTCAGCCAATTTGCAGTCCATCTGACTGTGTAGGCATCAATGCCACAGTCACATACCTTTTTAATGAGAATGGGGTGGGAGACAGTGTCAGAGGCCTTCCTGAAGTCCAGAAAGACTACGTCCACCGCGACACCTGCGTCAAGTGATTTTGTGACCTTATCGTAGAAGGCAATCAGGTTGGTCTGACAGGACCTGCCCCTAATGAAATTGTGCTGGTTGCGCTTGAGCATCATCCCTGCTGCTGGCCCATCGCAGATGTGCTCCTTGATAATCTTCTCAAACAGCTTCCCCAGGATTGAAGTAAGACTAACGGGCCTGTAGTCTACCGGGTCCTCCTTCTTCCCATTTTTAAAGATGGAAACCACACTGGCCCTCTTCCTGTCGTCTGGCACCTGGCCAGAGCACCACAAGTACTCATAAAGCCATGCCAAGGACTCCGTGATAACTCCTGCCAATTCCCTCAACACCCTGGGGTGGAAAGCATCTGGACCTGCTGATTTGAACACGTCCAGCCCCTCCAGAAGTTCTCTAACCTGGTCTTCCCTGACCCTAGGCTTGGTGGAGTTTCTCCCGAGTCCGTCCTGAATCTCGGTAGGGGAGTCTAAGAAAATAGAGACAAAGAAATTGTTAAAGAGGTCTGCTTTCTCCTCTGGTGCGACCACCAGATTGTCAAGCATATCCTGCAGGGGCCCCACGTTACCCAGGGCCTTCATTCTCCCTGTGCATTTAAAAAAAGGACTTTTTGTTATCCTTGATGTTAGCCCTAGTTCCATATCTGCCTTAGCTTTCCTAACAGCCCCCCTATAGACCTGAGCGGTGGAGGTATACTCCTCTTTGGTGATAGCCCCTCCCTTCCGCTGGGGGTACGCCTCCTTTTTGGCAGTCAGGCATTCACGAATGCCCTTGGTGAGCCGGGGGGCCTTTTGGGCACTCTTGCCCCCTTTGCTTCTTGTTGGGATTGTCACCCCTTGGGCTCTGATTATCGTCTCCTTATGGAATGACCACTCATCTTGGGTACCCGGTTCCTCTACTCTCCAGGACCCTAATGCCTCCCCCACTAATCACCTCAGCTCATTGAAGTTGGCCTTCTTGAAGTCTAAAGCTACTGCTTTGCTGCAGGCCCTTGACACCGTGTGCTGGATGGTGAATTCACGGATGGTGTATCTCGGCCAGGAACCTCCGTGAGTGGTCAGACTGCTCCTCCCAGCAGATGTCTGGGTAATTTAGATCACCCATGATGACTACGTCCCTTGCCTTTTAAGTTACTGAGTCCTGGCAATGTTGGAACCTTGTAATAAAGTTAAGAACAATATTAGTAGCTGCTGATTAGAATAAATATATATAGAGAAACAGGTAGGTAGTCTTCAAGGTGCTACTCTACCCTGCCTTCTGCCTAACTTCAGATTTACCACAGCTAAATTGTTCAGAGATGTGTGAGTTTTTAAAGACTGCTTCGTCCGGTGAATGGATTTGATCTCTGAGGTAGGCTGTAGCTTACAGAAACTTGTGCTTCTCTGAAGGAGGTCGTCTGCCAGGTGTCATACATACTGCCCTGCCTTCTGCCTAAAATATGTAGATTATACAAATGGTTTTACCTTAGGTTCAGAAAATGGTTTGTGTTGATCAGAGTTTATAGTTGTTATGGTCTTGAGTTTGAATCAACTTTTAGAGATGGAATTCAGGATTTTGCAGATGAAGCATTTTCATGCATCTCTAGATTGAACTCTTTCACATAACATGAAACAACTGCAAATGTTGGTGTAACTTAAGTACAATATCTAATATTCAGTGTAGTGACTATTTTCGGTGATATGTTAACTGTACCATGTTAAACTGTTGTTTTCCTTTCTTAGGCCTACAGTCCAAACTAAACTGTGCATCTCAAATTCACAGTGACCTTTTTAAATAAATGTAGATTACATTCAGTTGTTTCTACTGAAAGCTTCATTGACTGCAGCACATTGAAGTCTAAATGACACTGCTATTTGTATGATAATTTTTGTGATGATAACCCTTTGGCCAGTCAAGGTTTCTTTTTTTGTCTGGTTACCTGATGGATATTAACAGTAGTCTAAAGGGCAGGCTTTTCAAGTTGTATTTTGGGGAGGGCTGTTTTGTCCTTTAAGTCTGTGGATGGAGAATTCCCATTAAGATGATAAGAATTGTGTGCACGAGTCTGCAAACTGACTCTAGGACAGGAAGGGATTGTAAAGGATTGCCAGGTAGTTAGCAGAGTTTTCAGCTTGATACAGTGTCATTTCCCTCATGAGTTTTCCTTTACTGGCATTGGGATCTCTGCCATTCATTGTGCCATGGATAAGGTTTTCTGTTTTAGGGCTTTAAAAAAGAAGGTTCAGTCTCAAACCAGTCCCTCAGTTTGTCCATGTAAAGCAGCCTGAGCAGTTGAAAATTAATCTGCTGACTGGATCAATATTTGCTGTTAATGTATGGCTTAAATTTTAAAATGTGTTCCTGGTTAGGTTTTTTTTTTTTTTTTTT